AGTAAAAACTTTTAAATAGTTGATTTGATATTAAAATTGATATAATTTTTTTTCAAATTTATATTTTATTCAAAAATAAAATCATTATTGTTTTCTTTAAAACGCATAAAATCGTATTATAACATCGATAGAGACAAAGAATAAAATGGAACATTAAAATCAAGATGTGTCTCGCTGCATTGCGCGAGTACTCTTCTAGTTACAAATAAATTGTGCGTAAATATAACTTATTAAAGCTCAATTCTGAATTCGTGTAACTAAATGCAGATAAACATAGTCAAATAAAAATAAACATTTCATTTTAAATATAAAAAATCTAAAATATAATTAGGATAATCATTAAGTTCTAATATACTTAATTATTATCCTTATAAAAAAATATATTATTAAATAAAAAATAAATTTCTTCGTTATTAAATCTAAATTAAATTATAATAAAAAAATTAAATTAAAGAAATTACAAACAAAAAAACTTTTAAACAGTTAATTTGATACTAACAACGATATATTTATTTTCGAAATTTTATGATATATTCAAATTTATATTTTATTAAAAAATAAAAACATTATTATTTCTTTCTCAAAACCACATAAACCGTATTATAACATCTATAGAGACAAAATAAAATAAAACATTAAAATTGAGATATATCCCGTTACATTGCACGGGTACCCTTCTAGTTTTAGTAATATATATGTTATTAACAACTAAAGAAAGTAACTTACTTCTACTAAAATACATATAATATTATTAAAATAATGTATAATTTTTCATGCATGAAATATTATTAGAGTAACAAATAAAAAAAATTCCCAACACCAATTCCTAGATGAATAATTCTCTACGTTAATCTAAATGTAAGGAATATGATTGAAGATGCTCGTGATTTATGAAGATTCTCTTGACTAATTTATTATTTATTTTCAATTATTTTATTTCATCGATGTGATTGGTGATGGTCAGTGCAGTCATTGGATGAGTACACTTAAGAGTGTAAATGATGCGAGTCGGACTTGAATATCACTATACTCGACTCGAACTCGAAACCCAATTTTCAAGCTCGAACTCGACTTGAAAACTCGCGAGTAGTAAAAATCAAAGCTTGACTTGAACTCGATAACTATTTCTCAAGCTCGAAACAAGCTCAAACTACAACTCAAATCAAGCTTGAACTCGAACTTGAATCAAGCTCACTCATTGAAATTTATGAAATTTTAGGGTCTTTCTTTTATAAATTTTAACACTTAAAGGTTTTCTCTTAGTTTTTATAAACTAAAGGGATTAACTTCAAACTTTATCATCAAAAAGACAAAGTTAAAAATTCCATTCACGTCCCTCTCTTTTTATAACATCTTTTCTTCATTCCTTTACCATCTCTTTCAAATATGGGACAATTCACTAACCTTTTTTATAGTTTTTCTTTGTCTTTTTTTAATTGTGATTTTAACAAAAAATAATTGATTGATTTTTATAATTAAAAAATGCATAATTTGTTTAAATATCTAAAAGTATAAGACATTTTTATTATTTATATTTAACAAATTTTATCATAAAAACTGATTATATTTTAAAACTAATTATATATAAAATAATCGAGTATCTCATGAGCCTATTCGAGTCGAATGTCGACCGAGTCGATCTCGAATAGCTTGCGAGTTGTCTCGTATTATTTTACCCTTAAGTACACTACGTTTTTTTTTAAGTCAAATTAATAAAAGTTCGTATATTCCATCTGGAGAGTCGGTTTTAAGTAAACAGAGAGATTATTTTCTACAAGACTTTGCTTGTAAAATAATTCAAAAAAAATCTTTTTGTTTTAAAGGGTATATTAGGTTTTTTCTTCTTTTCCTTTTTGTGCAAAGTGTATGAAACAATCGAAAAAGATTGAACGCAAAGATCAGTAAAAGAGAAACCAAGAAGGTATGCTAAAAAAGGATGATTGATTATAAAAACAACTTATTGACTTATTTTGGTGTGTCACCGGTAATAAACACATTTGAATGTTTGGATAAACAACTTATACCGGTGCTAAACCGGTAATAAGGAGTTTTTGAAGAAGTTAAACCCTTCTAACTTATAATAAGTTGATAAGTGTTTTTATAGATAAACATAAGTCATTATATAGAATCTATCTACATTAATTAGGCATTAAACATACGCTAGTTTATTTATTATTATTTTTTATTAACCTGGATATCCAACTCGTTACGCGAGCCGACTAATTCCAAGCCGACTACTTGCTTTGCAGATAGATCGGAGTCACCGCATTTGAACCTCCGTGGCCACAAGAAATTTTTTATTCCTCATTGGATTTGAACTTTGACCTTTGGAACCAAACTTAAACCAATCAAACACCACCCTTGTGGTTTATTTTTTTTAGTACATGTTTGAATGGAAATAAGTTAACTTATTGACACGTTAGTTGAAATAACATTTTAAGAGTTTTTATGTATATTTTCGAATTATAAACGTAGTTAATATTAATTTCTATTTGTTATTATTAATTATAAATAAATATTAATTATTAGTAATAAATATTGATAAAAATTAATTATTATTAACATTAAATAATAGAGTTCCACAAGTAATCAATTATCATGGAAGTCATTAATTCAAAAAGGAGAAATTAATTAAGTTTTTAAGATTGTCAGTATTGAATTTAAGTCTTAGGTTAGCTTTCATTTAATTATTATTAAACAATGAATGCCAATTATTATTATTTTATTTTATTTTTTTAAAAAAATATTAAAATAATGAAATTGTAAAATATTTAATCATATAATTGAATGCTTACCCGGTAAATGTTTATCGATAGAATTCAACATTATAATTTATTTTAATACGTAAGATTTTAGTACATCAAAACATATCGAATGCAACAAGTTACTGGGTAAGTGCTTACATAGGTACGAGTTGTCATCCTTACTTACCGGGTAAGACTCTCTATCTTTTTCATTGCTCTTACCCGGTAAGATTCTTGACCATTTTCATGTTCATCCGATAAGGAAATTTATCCGGTAAACACTTACCAAGTAAGTGTTTAGTAAACAGCCCCTAAAAGCATATATTTTCTCTCTTCATTCAGAGTTGAAGATTTTTCCGTTCTCTCTCCTTTTTTTCTATTTTAAATGAAAGTTTAATATACTTGTTAAAGATGCTCTAACAAAATATCATGGTAAGAACTAAGGTTTTTATACAAGAACTCAAAATAGCATCAAGTGTTTTTTGCTTAATAAGATTGGAGATGCTCTTAAACAAACCAAAAAACCAGATGATTCGTAAAATTCAAACTTCAAAAGTTGTGTTTTTCAACCCAAATTCCCCAAAAATCAACCAGCGAACGAACTCAGAATCAACAAACTGTAGAAAAGGAGTAATGTAAACGACATCCAATTAGGGCTTGTTTGCCGAAACCCTCAAAATCAAACTATACGAAATCATGTAATGATCTAACAACGAAGCAACAAGTTTCATTTATCAGATCATGAAATCGGAAATAGGACACGTACCTTGCCATAATTTTCAAAATTCGTCTTCAGAATATACTCAACATTTGCCGGATCAGACGTATAAACTTCGTTACGGAAAGGAGTAATCAATCTGTAAGTTCTGTATTTTCTAGCAAGATCAGTCATGTAATCATGCAATCTGTGGAAATTTATGAGCTGATTGAGCATCGTTCCGGCGATTGGATGATGCTTCTTCTTCGTCTTCCACTGTTGCTGTTGATTGTAGATATATAGGAGAAGAAGAAGAAGAGATATCACTGTAATTACTGGTATCGAACCAGAGCTTGAGAGGAAATCCATGGAGGTCGCCATTGCAGAAGTGGTGATGTGTTCTTCGAGTTGTTTGAAGACGTGTGTATAAATATGGAAACTTGATAGGTATTGATAAGCTTGCACAGCACATGATTTCTGTGCAATGGCCCCATTTTCCTTTATAAGTAGCATCATTTTCAACATATTTCTAATAAGAAATTTAAAAAATTTAAGAAAAAATATATTCAATTTAAAAAAAAAATAGTTTTTTGGAACAAATTGTATGAAAAAGTAACGTATTTAACTTGATTTATATTTTAAATAATGTAATTTTAAAACTTTTATTTTGATATCTAATATGTAAAGTTTTAAACATCTAAGTACTCGAATAACCGGTTGAAGTATTAACCGGTTACCATGCTGATGTGACGAGTGATGTGATATCCAACACAATATTATTTGTTGACGTGGTTAGTGACATAGATTCTTTTTAATCTAAAATTAGTCTTTTTTTAATCTAAATATAGGCCTCAACCGGTTACCCAGGTACATAAATGTTTAAAATTTTACATCTTAGGTACCAAAATGAAAATTCGAATGTACGTTACCCAAAATATGAATTAAGTTAAATCACGTTACTTTTTCATGCAATTTGTTTTTTTTAAGATTATGATACTTACAGGTTTGAATTCTAAACTTTAGCATCGAAATTAAATAGCAATGATTGCATGAATACATTTTTAATCTGTAAAATAGAGAAAATAAGGAAAAATATCTAGTATCGTACATAATTGATGCAACCTCCAGTATTAACCGGTTACCATGTTGATGTGACGAGTAATGTGATATCCAACTCAGTATTATTTGCTGACGTGGTTAGTGACATAGATTCTTTTTAATCTAAAATTAGTTTTTTTTTTAAATCTAAATATAGTCTTCAACCGGCTATCCGGGTACTTACATGTTTAAAATTTTACATCTTAACTATCAAAATGAAAATTTTGAAAGTACGTTACCCAAAATATGAATCAAGTCAAAGTATGTTACTTTTTCATGCAATTTGTCTTTTTTTTTAAAGATTATGATATTTAAGGGTTTGAATTATCAACTTTAGAATCGAAATTAAATAGCAATGATTGCATGAGTACATTTTTAATCTGTAAAATAGAGAAAATGAGAAAAAAAAATATATAGCATCGTACATAATTGATGCAACGAAGGAGGCCACTAGTGGCCAACGATGGCTAACGATGGTGGAGGCGGTCGTGACTAGCGGTGGTGACCACTAAAACAAATATCATATTGAAGTTATATATCGAACGATGGTTAATTAGTAATATTTTAGTTTTTGTCTTATTTTTGTCTCATCTTGTTCCACCTATTTTAGTGGAACAAAAAAAAATCTTTTTTTTGTCCCACATTGTCCTACCTTGTACCATTTTTTGTCTTTGTCTCATGTCGCACCAAACGTAGAACAGTGAACTCTTGTCATGTCTCATGTCGCGCAAAACATGAAACAATGAGTTTTGTCCCATCCTCTCCTATCATGTATCATGTACCAAACGCTATACATCCAACTTCAATAATTGGATATCCATAATAAAATATGTTATAAATTTTTATCATCATAATAAATATTTAAAAGTCTTTATGAAGAAAAATATAACTCATTTAATTTTTTACAATTTTTTAAGTTTAAACTTATTACTGGATATATTTAACGTTTTAAATATCCATTTCGTCAAACTAAATTATAATAAACTAATAAACACGTTAAAATACAATATAAACATTGAATTTTACTGATATGACGATAAATTAATCATGTGTCTGGAACCAGATTTAAACTCTTCCTCAGCCATCAAGTTGCGTTTGGTATCCAAAATATAACATGAGAGAACAAGACAACTGTTCAATATTTGGTAACACAAGATTGGTAAAATTATCAATTTATCGTAACGAGTTCAATAATTATATATATATTTTATATATTTTGATTAATTTATGTAATTTATTAAATATTATAATAAAATAAATATTTTTTATAACAAGACATATCATTAGAAAGTTTTCGTCAACACGATTAAAATGACACAAAAATATAAAGTTTATGTAATTTTTAATTTTTATTTTATACCTTTTTCTAGATTATATTTTTATTATTAATATTTTAAAATACATAAATTAAACAAAATATAGAAAATGTATAAAAATGAATTTAGACTGGTAAAGTGAAAGTTTTAAAAAAGATAAAATACAATAAATAAAATTTGAATAATGGATAAAATGTAAAGAGAAGGCGTATTTGATGTTTTAGAAAGAAATTAAGTTTTATTTAGAGAGTATATTAGTAAAATATAAGTTTTGTCATTGTTTCATCTTGTTCCATAGGGTGGGAGAAGACACATGTTTTTGTTTGTTCCATATAAAAACATGCTAACGTGGAACAATGATCTCTGTTATGTTCTGTCATGCTCAGCAACAAAGTGCACCCTTAGATAGCGTTTGGTTGTTGAGGTGGTGATAGACGATGGTGACCGGTGGCTGACGACGGTTGTTAAGGTGGCGATTGACGAAGATAACCGGTGGCTGACGATAGTTGTTGAGGTGGCTATGGACGGTGGTGATTGGTGGTCGACGGTGGTTGTAGAGGTAGTGGAGGTTGTTGTAATGGAGGAGGAGGTGGAGGTGGCTGACGGAAGCCACTAGTGGCCGACGACAGCTACCAGTGGTGGAGGCGATCGTGACTAGCGGTGATAACCACTAAAACAAATATCATATTAATGTTATATATTAACCGATAGTTAATTAGTAATATTTTAGTTTTCGTCTCATTCTTGTCCAATCTTGTTCCACCTATTTGGTGGAACAAGAAAAAACCTTTTTTTTGTCACACATTGTCCCAATTCTTATCTCTGTCCCATGTCACACCAAACGTAGGACATCAAGTTCTTGTCCTATTCCATATCGCGCCAAATATGAAACAGTGAGTTTTGTCCCGTCTTGTCTTGTCCTGTTCTGTACCATGTATCAAACGCAGCCTTAAAGATGCTTTTAAAAAGTATTATTGATTTAAAATCAAAATCTTTAAAAATACATCCAACTCAATAGTTGGATATCCATAATAAAATATTTTATAAATTTACCATTTTAGTGAATATTTAAAAAGGCTTAATAAAGAAAAATATAATTCGTTTAAATTAGGTAATCGGTAAAAACAATTAAAATAATATCTCTTCAAAGGCTAGGGGGCATGCCTGTGACGAGACCCCTAACTTTTTTTTTTATTAACCTGAATATCTAATCCATTATGCGAGCCGACTAATCCCATGACGACCACCTGCTTTGCAGATAGCACAGAGTCACCGCACCACATTTGAACCTCAATGGCCACAAGGGGATTTTTATTCCTCCTTGGATTTGAACCTGGGACCTCCTAATACTTTTGATTGGAGTCAAGCTCAAACCAATCAGACACTACCTTTGTTGTTAATCCCCTAACTCTTGGCGCAAACTCATATATAATGCATATGAAAAAAGATTTTTTTTTGTAACACCCCAAACTCTCATTTTTCATAAAACACATATATTCCGTATATCATGAAATAAAAATATACACATTGATCCCCAAATGTATACATTGGTCTCAGAGTATACATACGAATACATATAAAAGTAGCTACAAACTTTTTGCTCACATAATTACATGACTTGAATAACACGGGTTCACAAATCATGTACAGATTCAGCTTCCCAAAAATCCATATATTTAAAGCATTAACAATTCCCTTTACTTTCCATATGTATCCGACCTATAATGCACATTTTTTATAACAAAATGAGGGCTAGACGATAAGGTCTAGTGAGTAATTCTCTTGATTGCTATTACAAAGTGAAATCATCAAATACTTTTTGGAAAGTCAATCTTTAAAAAGACAATATTCAAATATCATTCATGGAAATCAAACCTTTTTTGGTCGCATCATATGGATGTGACAACCCACTTTCATTGCATCAAACTCATGAGGTACCAAATTTGTCGCATCAAACGCATAATACACTAACTTGTCGTATCTCATTAATGCGATAACACATTTTGTCGCATCACACACATGCAATAACCCAACTTGTCGCTTCTCAAGAATGCGATAAATACAACTCCTGGCATCACAAGGATGCGATAAACAACTTTGTCGCACCCAACAGATGCGATAAATTTCAGTCATCGCATCACAATAATGCGATAAACTCATTCCTCGCATCATAATGATGAGATAAATCATCCCCTCACATCAAGCAAATGCGATAAACTTCCTTCATCACATCATATAGATGCGATAACATCATTTCATATAATCAAAATCCCATTTTAACCAACGGTTGATTATACCACCCTTATCCCAATATATCTCTCTTCTGATTATGTCACCCTTATTTCAATTCATACGCCTCTTCTGATAATCGATTACTGTTTAAGGTCTTCATCTTTTTAAGAGGCGTATGATTTGAAATAAGGGTGACTAGTAGTAACTAACGCACCATGGTTATCTCAGATCATCTAAAATTCCATTTTTAACTAACTATATTGTGTGAACCGTAATTCTTCATAAAAAATCCGATTTTAACAAATTATATATTATATTAAAAAAAAGTCACAATTTAAATAGTTTTTACTCATTATGATTCCATAAATTTTCTTTTTAAAATATTAGAAGATAAGATTTTCAAAAGTTAGGTTTGAAAATTTAATGCCATTCAATTATTATTGTTTTTAAAATTATTTTGAGAGAGAAAGTGAGAGTTTTTCTAAAATTCTAAAAAAATTAATTTAAAAACGAAAACAAACGGGTTTTATTTTGACCAGATGACCTTAACTCGGTGTTTTGTCCTTAACGATACTGATAATGAATCAGTGGATAACTCTTTTACGGGTTGTGATGTCGTGTCATTGTAAGCGAGAATTATGAAATGGTGGGGTCTTCTTCTTGACATTTAGAGTCGGTTTTAGATGTATTAGCTTTGAGTCTTTGACCGACTCCCCTACTAGTCTACTATATTACCCTCTCGACTTGAGACCATGTGAGGCAGGGCTGTTTTCGTGAGACACGGTTTTTACACTTGAAACTTCACAGCACAACACTGTGTGTTTTGCTGTGAAGATTCGGATTTTTTTTACCATCACAACATTTTGTTGTGAAATTTCAAGTGTAAAAATCGTGTCTCACATGTCTCACGAAAACAACCTTGTCTCACGTGAACCCAACCCTTAGCCTCTCAACAAAAGTTATAGATAACAATTATTTGAATTTCCTCTTTTTATTTGAAGTTCTCAGAATAAACTTGTTTTTCCAGTACTTGTGTGAGAATGGTCATCTGTAGTTCGAGACCCAACTTGCCTCATTTCGTTGGCTTTTTCATCGTGTAAAAGCTTTTAGTAGGTGTTCGCCTTTGTGGTTGAAAATAACTTGGATATTTTTCTAGATCTTGTTTGGAAATCGATTTCCAAATACTGTATTTTGCCCCTATTCTGATTTGGGTTTTCAGGAAATCAGTATCGGGATAATCTAGAAAAACCATATACGATATAAGGAACTGATTTCTTATATATATGTACTCAAATCACAAATTATGAATTTATAAGAGAGATTGATAGTTAAGATTGTTAAATGGTAGTAACCGTTAACGGATAAGATTGAAAAACAGTTATAACCGAATCAAGTTCAAGTCCATATCTGACTACGTTGGTCCAGACTTAGCACTAAGTCTAACTTCGTTGTTCCAGACTTATACCCCCGCTTTACTGTAATCTAAGATGACAGGGGGCAACATTTGTTAGTATGCACTTTGCACTCCTTGGAGTTGTTTGTTTAACTCTTAATAGTTATATTAAGAGGCAACATCTGAACCGTTAAGAGATGAATCTTGTTTGGCAAACAAAAATATATGCGTCTTAATGGTTCTAAAACTCTCTGAATGATTTTGTATTATAAGCCTCTCTTAACCATTCAGTGCCCTAATTTCATCGTAAACAATTACCAAACAATTATATTTCATTTTGTACTATAGCATGAGAGTCTCTTAATCACGCTGACCACTTAATTATTCTCCACCAAATCATTCAGCAACTGTCAAACTACTATGTTTGCCTCATCATCTTACTCGATCTCTTGTAAATCACAACTACATCAAATGGTAGGTGACACTAAAATCATTAACATATGATATATAGATAAAATTGAAAAACAATTATAACCGAATGAAGTTCGAGTCTATCTGACTTCGTTGGTCCAGACTTATACCCCGCAAGGGGGCGTGGCCGCCTTTGCCCCCCGTCTTATTGTGATCTAAGATGATAGGGGGCAACATTTGTGAGTATGCACCCTGCACTCGTTACTCACATATGTTTGTCTCATCACCTTACTCGATCTCTAATAAATCACAACCAACAGATGATATATTCTATTAATTTATAAAACGTAAAAGAAAAGATAATAAATGAATCCTTGGTTTGTTGACATGTCACCATCGTTGCGAATGATTTGTTGAAAATAAAACCATTTTGTTTTATTAAACTTATGGAATATTTTAATAATACTAGTTATGTATCCGCTGCAATGCAACGATGTGTAAAGTTATTAAAATATCTGCAAGTAAAATACAGTATTAAAACAAAAAGTATCATTAGAATAAACGAATAATGTATCTGTACAATGGAAGATGATATAAAAATTGCAGTGATAAATGGAATGGTGTAAAATGAAAAATGAAGATATATGAATATAAACAAATGAAAAATGAAAATATATGAATATAAAACAAATTAATACGTAGATATTCATGATATTTAATAGTATATTAAGTCAAAACATATTCAATATTGAACTCAATTTGAAGGTATTGATGAGACGATTATAATGGTATAATTTGTAAAAAAAACATATTTTTTTAATTCATTTTACTTCATATACGATTATTTTTGTTAATATGATAAGGGTGTAAAATGAAAAATAAAAAAGTTATGTCTATTTATTTGTCTCAAAATAAAGTCACGTTTAAGGGTTTTTAATCAATGATCGAAACAAGAATACGTAAATTTCATTATGGAAACAAAAATGTGAACTTAAGGATATGATATGATCGTATATAGATTTTCATGAAAACCGAATATAGACCGATGGTTTGGCATGGTTCAGTAACTGCCTAAAAAAAACCTCGTCCGATCTGAAAAAGTTTAATCTTGTCCATTTGTTTTGGGCTTTTAATCGGGCCCGTTTAAAAAAAGAGGTGAAAAAAATTAAAAATAATTGAAGAAATTCTGATCTGCAAAAGGATAAGCAGTTCGATCTAATCCAGACTAATGACATCATGAATCGGTCTTTATCTAGTCTGATCTGACATATCAGACCGGTCTAAATGCCCATCTCTAAGGAAAATTGTATACACTCTTTTCCCAACAAGTTATATAAAACTGTATTTGTTACTTGAACCAGTATCAAATCACAGAACAATAATTTTACCAGTTGTTTCAAGACTATTAGTGTAGCAAATAAATCAAATCTATGCACAATCCATCTTGATGTTTCAATAAGAAACTTTAAAGGCTTTGAAATCTTTCTTTCCATTCCGATTTGGTGTCGGGTTTCACCGTCTTTAAAACGGAATGAAACCCTACACCAAAAATCAGAACGCCTTTCAAACAATGTACATATTGTTGATGAACAATCTTACGTCAACGTTCTTGGAACCGCAAGAAGATGAAGACCACCGTCAATGTGAAGTGTAAACATCGTTCTATAAGTCACTTTTCTTGATTCATCAGCTAATTTGAACACGAAGAAACGAAGGAGAGCAATCGACACGATCTTCATCTGCCGGTATGCAAAATCTTTCCCCAAACAAATCCTCGGACCAGCCTGCAAAAAGCCGAACAATGATTCAACAACTTGTCACATTCTCAATCGTTGTTAGGATTTTTGTTCACCCCCGCACCAAAGCCCCACGTACGAAAAGTCCAAAATAAATGTCCACAATGAAAAATACACACAGTTTCAAAAATATGTAATCGTTACATTTTTTAATTAACTAAATGACAATTTTACTCTTAATAATAGTATGAGTTGTGAATTTCTCCATCTCATAAGAGCAAAATTGGAAAGTAAAAACTTAATTTTTAAAATTGACGTTTATTTTGGGACAAACTAAAATAGAGGGTAGTAAAACTCTATTTTCACCTGATTTTGACTTTTGAGGTCAATGAGCGGACTTCTTAACTTCACAATCAACGCGAATTCTTAAGTTTTCAAGAGAAATGTGATATCGGTATCAAACTTCATAAGAATTATCGTAACTTAGTGATTTTGAAGTCGTAGATTTGTAAGACGATCCGTAAAAGTTGGATCTTGAATCAATACATTTGACTTGAAAGTCAAAATAGATGTCAAGAAAAACAGTAACCAAAATCAAACCAACCCAGTAAGGACATGCTCCTCAACAGCTTAATGTGACTTACAACTTATTCGGTCAGTCAAATGTTTGCTAGTAGCTTAATGATATATAAATTGACTTATTCAGTAAGCTTCTTGGTATGAGCTTTATGCAGAAAGTCATTTTTTTCCCATACCTGCATCTTCCAATTAAAAAAAACACTATCTTCCCATTCATGAAAAACCCTCCCAAACAAAAACCTTCTCAATTTATACAATGATTATTAATCCACACCGATTGTTTTATCTATACAAGACTTATGAAAAACCAACCAAACAGCCCCTAAGTCTCACGTTGACGTAGGGTCTAGGGTGGGGTCGGAAGATAGGAAATAGGTTGACCTTTCCTCCATCCCAAGAGGTAGAGAGGATGTTTCCATGAAGACCTCGGTCTTACAAAACGTTAACTAGAAATCTAAAGAGAAATAGTGAACGATTACTTACATGAAATGCAACGAATTTGAAAGGAGATTCAGGTTGGAAAATTCCATTATCATTAAGCCATCTTTCCGGTTTGAAATCCTCAGCATCGTCTCCCCAGATGTATGGCATTCTTCCCATGGCGTACGAAATATAGTAGACGCCATCCCCTTTTTTCAACTTGAAGCCATCAGGAAGAATGTCGTCCATGTCCGCGACTCTTCCATCCTTCAAAACGGAAACCACAACGAGATCGAACACAAATTGTTATAAATATGTTCGTATTTCACCTTCAAATGAGTTTATTCCTCAAGTTGAGGAAAACCAGTGTCGTGGTTTCAAGAAAAAACGCTTGCTTGTTTTTACTTTGTTAAGTAGTACATATATATAGAGAGAGTTGAACGATCAAATGCAAACCACTCAATTTGTACAAACCGTGCAAACCATCATCATTCGTCGATTTCATTGTTTAATCTTATGAAATTTTTTCATGAAATTGTTTAATCTTGTGAAATTGTTTCATATAATACTTTTTTTTGATGAAGTTGGTTCATATATGGTTATGAAATTGTTTCATATAATACTCAATGAAATTTTAATGAAATCGTTTCATGTATTTCTCTAAAATTAAAATAATTAAGATGGTAACATTCATGATTAACATCATCCACAATAAAAATGATTAATCAACCTCTCATAATTACAAAAAAAATGAACAAAATAAAAAATTATGATTGGTTGAATGAGTTTTGTACAAATAATGTTGTTTGCAAAGTAAACCCCCCCTCTCTCTCTATATATATACACACACACACACACACATATATATATATATATATATATATATATATAAGAATGTTAAATACCATAAGAAGGAAAAGTTAAGAGAAGAAACATATATGAATCATTGAAAAATTTTGTTTGAAGATGCATATGTAAACCCATAAAAATAATCTGTAACATCGTTTCAAAAAACAAACCATTTTGTAAAATAACGCAAAAATAAGGTTGCCCTTTCAAAAAGCAAGCCATTTTGTACAAAATAAATTCCAAATATGATGGGGTACTTTTTGGGTAACCGTGGTTTTTCGGGTCAGCTTACACGCATTGCTTAATACCCTGAGCGGCCATGAATGAACCTCCATGGCAACAAGGGCTTTCGCAGTGTCTGGATTCAAACCCCGAGAAAATGAGATTTCCGCTACATCCCCCCTGAACTTAACTCGGGGAAAAGGTTTTAATTGCTTTTGCATCTCTTTTTTCCGACATTTAAAATCGCTCATTCTTGTAAACTATGTTGTGGTTTTGCTATTATTTTACGACAAAAAGCGAAGTAAATTTTGGACTTGCCAAAGGGACGGCGGGATATAGTCTCAAGGTTTCGCTCAAAGCGGCATGAAGATAATGCATTTTGTCGAGTACTTCATCGGTTATCTTCTCCACAAAATCTTCGATTCTAGCCCCGTTTCCTTCATTTCCCATGATCGTTTCCATTTCTAGGACAACTTTTTCTTGCACTTGTGGATTCTTGCACAACATATAGAAGAACCACGAAAGTGTATTCGCGCTAGTATCTTTTCCGGCGATCATAAAGTTCAAGATTATGTCCATTAGATACCGATCATTCATCCGCGGATCTTTCTCGCTCTCAATCAGAAATCTTGAAAGTATGTCCTCCTTCTCATTCTAGAAATAGACATTTTACTATAAAAGTCAGTTATGGTGCGTTTGGTACACTGGACAGGACAAAACAGGACATGATCCTTGTCCCATGTTTGGCATGACTTTTATGTGGAACATACAAGAAATTGTGAGTCTCAATAAGCTAAAGTCTATATCATTAAGTCACTGTCAAAGAGTATGTATAGCTGAATGATAAGTTGTGAGTCTCATTAAGCTGCTAATCAACAAGCCTAACCAGCATATCCCATTCGAAGTAGTGTCTAGGAAGGGTGAGATGTATGCAAACCTGTCATCTACTCCAATAAGTAGAGCACTTATTTTTGTATAGTTGTTAAAACTAGAATAGTAAACCATAACTGTTAAATAAAGAAAAAATAAAACTCACACAGTGTTGATTCTTTTCTAGTTGTTCTCTTCTCTTGCTGATCAAATCGAGAACAAAATCATTGATCGATTTGATGTTGTCACGGAGAGCCGCTTCACAACCAACGTTAAGAAACCGTTTGAGCTTCCATAACGGATCTACGTATCGCCAGTATATTAATGCATTCGAGTTATCAAAGGCCTTGATAAACGCACCCCCTTCTTCGCTCGATCCCTCAAGGCAATTCAATTCCACTCCAAACCCAACTTTAAATATCGAATCCAACGTGCAACGCATTAGCAAATTCTACAAGTTGTAGGGAAAAAAACCGGTTCAATGATCCAACATAAAAACCAAACCAAACCAAACAAACCCAATATATCCTACCCGAAGGTAGGGCCACAGGTAAATGTATCTGGGCCTTATGTGAGTCCCGATAGACAAAAAGACTGTTTCCGATCCCGAAGGTAGGACCACGAAGATGTACGCAGACTACCTTTGTCCCAATAGACAGAGGTGTTGTTGCCGATAAGACCCCTGGCTTATTCAATAATCTAACATAACACCAAACCGAACATATCTAGGGGCGGACCTATAAAAGAAGCCAACTTCTGGTTCCGTAACCTGCTAATAATGGGCCCTAGGGGCGGACCTATTTATAAAGCCCTGAGCGGGTCCCGTGCACCCATTCAACTTATTTTCACAAGTAGAAATTTTTTTGTGTATATGAAAGATGCACCCGCTAAACTTTGAGTGGTGCTCCGAGGTTGGCAAAAAACCAAAAGAGTCTCTCGAAATCAACCGAAAAAACTTAAAAATCCCTAGAAATCAACCAAAAAAACTTAAAAACCCCCTCTTAACGGTCGAATTCGATCTACCTTAAAGATGCACCCGCTTGACAAAAATTCTTGGGTCCACCTCTAACAAGCCCAATATATCCCAACCGATAAAAGCATAATGGACTTCCCACTTACTTGTACATCAAAAACTTTCTTGACGTTAGCGAACTCGGAAACAACCCCGACCAATTTTGCCGCGTTATTTCTGAAAACCGTACAGCTGAAGTCTCTCAACACCCGTGTCGAGAATTCAAAACTCGCAAGCTTCCGTTGCTGCTTCCACTTAACACCATCAACAGCAAAGATCCCGTTACCAAATAAATCGGTCACGATATCCTTGTTGTACTCGCCTTTCGAGTAGTTACCGAAGTTGGTTTTAAGTACGTGTTCGATATTTCGAACATCGGTTGTGTATAATTCACTTTGATCAGGGGCAAGAAGCCTGAAAGTAGGATGCTTGAGGGCAAAATCTGCAAAATAGTCATGAAGTGTATTGAAATAGAAGAGTTGACCAAAAACAGTTCCAAGAATTGGAGGGTAATTTGGGTTTTTCACAGATTTTCCTACGAAGATTCTGAGTAGGAGAGCTGAAAAGGTTATGATAATCAGGAGTAGAGTTGTGGCTGCTGAGGCGAAGATGATATGGAGAGTGTTCATATTTGGAGAGAAATACAAGAATGATGATATATTGCATATGCAATTTAAAGGCAGGATGGGAGGGGATTCCAAAGTGGAATCTGTTATATATATATATATATATATATATATATATATATATATAGGGTTGGGTTCATACGAGATAAGCGTGTTTTTTTAGATCCATGAGACAAATTTTTTTACGATTGAAACTTCATAGCTAAACGCTTTGAAAGTAAAAAAAAGCCGAACCTTCGCAGCAAAAACACTATGAAGGTTACCTTCACAACGTTTTGCTGTGAAGTTTCAAGTGTAAAAAAGTGGTCTCGTGGATCTCACGAAAACAGGTTGGTCTCATGTGATCCCAAGTGTATATATATATATATATATATAGTGTGTGTGTATGTATATATGTAATATGGTATCGGAGTTGGGATCTACCACATCTAGAGACTAGATACTGACTTTCGCCTATGTTTTAGGGGATACCATGTAGCCTCAGGTTGAGAGGGTGAGTTGATGTAATATATGAGTTGGACAGAGAACATCAAACTTGTGTGTGTATATATATATATATATATATATATATATATATATAGGATCAGGTTTATGGGAGAGCGATAAATAAATGGAAACAACGGAAAAACGGATGAAAAAGTATATCGGTATGGATGTCAAATCAGCGAAAAAATATGATTGTTTGATAGACATCAAACTTGTGTGTGTGTATAGAGAGAGAGACTCCTACAAACCCAATAACTCGCACAAACTTACAAACCAGTTTTCATGTGTGAAAATACAGTGTTTATACGGTGTTGTTTCATATATGAAACATTCAACATTGTTATTTTCTACACAATAACTGTTTCACATATGAAATACCACTATATAAAAACTACGAATGAAAATTGGCATGCCCGCTTGTTCCAATTGTCCCAATTAATTGGGTTTGTAAATAATTGTACATATAAATAGAGAGAAAGAGAGAGAGAGAGAGTTAGGTTCATACAAGAACAATAAAACAATCCACATGTGATTTACGCTAAAATCACATCTGATTCATGCGACTTTGGTTGCGACCTCATGTCATGGGCCAGGTCGCCTGCTCAAATAGCATGTAATCACATGTGAATTAGCCGTTTTCTTTTTCTCTTATTTTGACTTTATCGTATCATTTGCTAGAAGCCTCCTGAAGTGGAAAACCAAGAACAAGGACATATATATACACACACATGCATATATATATATATATGAATTTTATATACATCTAAACTTAAATAATTATAAAAGACAGATAAGGATACTCTTCTGCAGGAAATTTATGAAGAAGACAAACATAACAGTTAAGTTCCTGAGAACTTCAGCAAAGTGTTCCAAAATATGGGTGATTATATATACAGACAGCGAAAAAAACAAGACATCGGTCTCATTCAGCATCTTGATCGGGTTGCAAACGTCATTTATCTCCATCGATTCTTCGCCGTCTTGATTAACGCTACCGAACCACAACCATGGTGGGTCACAGACAACTCCTCTAGTCGTTCTACAGAAATCCTTCTGATATGCGAAAGAAAGAACCCCTCTCGGCTTATCGGATCGAAGACTTGATTCAAAGAATCCTAACATATTTCAACGGCGACGTTAAGCAATTCAGGTTGTTTATTGATTCCGTGAACTCATGTGGAGATTTTCGAGCGTCAGCGGGATATCTGAGACTTCGATCGCAGGGACGGACACACATAAGAATTTTTATACGGCACCATATAATATAGACAAAAAATCACTACTAGAAAACTGAACATTTCCGGCGCAGTTTCCGGCAGAAAAGTTCCGCCGGTAATTTCCGTCAGCCTTCAAAAAAGTCAACTTTTATTGACTTCCGCCGGAAATATTAAACCGATTGTACTTCCGGCGGATTTCCGACGGAATTCTTAATTAACCTTTAATTAACCTTTTAAAATTAATTGATCTTTTAAAAAAAAATTCTAAAAACATTTCCGGCGGAAATAGTTTTTTTTATTTTTTTTTAATATTCCGCCGGAAATCAGTCAGAAATGTTTTTAGAATAATCTTTTTTTTTTTAAATTAAACCTTTTCCGGCGGAAATATATATATATTTTTTTATTTTTTTTAATATTCCGCCGGAAATCCGTCGGAAATGTTTTTAGAAATTTTTTTTTTATTTTTTTTTAAAAAAAAATTAAACCTTTTCCAGCGGATTTCCGGCGGCAACTTAAAAAAAATTCAAAAAAATAATTCTGCCGGAAATGTTTTTAGGAATTTCATTTTTAATTTTTTTAAAGATTAATCTTTTAAGGATTTCCGGCATAAAAATAATAATTTTTTTAAAAAATAAATCCGCCGGAAACATCCCATTTACAGCCGTTATGCTGTCAAAATTGACTTGCAATCTTTTTAAAACTATATATAAGATGAATATTCAACTAGTCTCAGCCAAAGATACGACAATGATCCCTCCACCTATCCCTTAGTTGATAAGGAGTTGTGGGTGCAAGCGGTTAGGGGAAGCAAGAAAGGCCGTTTATTTGGGTTTGGGTACAACCAATATCCCAATTGTGTCTTGACCGGGAACTACACGGAAAGTGGTTCATCGTCTTCAGATAAGCACGTATGTGTCTCTTTTCCTTTGATGATGTTTATCGACTTAGTTTATAATTCATATTAAATATTATAACGTTTTATTTATTTTATAGGAAATTCAAACCTTAAAGAGCCAACTTAGAGATTTACAGGAAAAAAAGTCAGCGCCAACATATGGCGGAGGAGGAGCGACGTTTGGCGAAGGAGGAGCGACAGTGGGTAGAGGCGGAGCGACGACGACAGAGGAAGGAGCAACAGGATAAAACAACTTCAAGATATGGTTGCATTGGTTAGACAGCTCAGTCAATCTCAACATTTCCCTCCGCCACTACCATATTGAATATTGTCTTTTGGTTTGAAACAATTTAGTTTTGTTTATAAGAATTTAATTTTTGTTTGGTTATAATAATTGTAGTTTCACTTTAATGTATAATATTTAGTTCTATTTTGCCTTTTTAGTTTCATTTTTAATATTGTACAAATTTATAGTTTTTAAATACGGGTTTTAAATAATAATTTTAAAATAAATTTAAATATTAATATTTATATATTTTTTCCGGCGGATTTGTCTGCCGGTAATGTTTCTAATATAAAAATATTTTTTTAAATAAATTTAGAATTAATATATTTTTTTTTCGACGGATTTCCAGCGGAATTGTTCGCCGGTATTTTTCAAAATTAAATATATATTCTTTTGGAAAAGATTATAATTTTTCCGGCGAGATATTTTTCCGGCGGATTTTCGGCGCCGCCGGTAAATTAAATTATTTTTTTAAAAAAATACTTAACCATTTTGTTAATTTAATCAAGATTTTATAAAAAACCGGTGAGGAATTTCCGGCGGCCGGGATCCGCCGGAAAATGGTAAAATCCACCGCTTTTCCCGTCGAAAAAACAATTACCGGTGCCACTTTTTCCGGCAGCAATATCCGCCGGAAATCACTGTTTCCGGCGGATATTGCCGCCGGAAAAAGTGTCCTTTTTGGTAGTGAATAGTTACAAAAAGCATGGTTTTTTTATCAACATGTCTTCATGTTTTTACTAACGTTTAATATCGTTCGATGTGTTTTTAGCCTAATTTCACTCTTTTGAGACATTTTTAAAGTTTTTTGCTTGATTTCGAGGAATTTTTTAGTTTTTTTATCGATTTCGAGGGACTTTTTCGGTTATTTTGGTTGATTTCAAGAGTTTTTTTTTTTTTTTTTGGTTGATTACGATGATTGGTTGCACCATTTTGAACTTTTGAATATCATACGATGACATTTTCTAAAACGATACGGTTGCACCTTTCATAAACGTAAATTTTTTTAACTTTCTAGCAGAGAGATAATAACAATGGTACATGCCACCGTATGCCCTTTTATGGGTCCATCCATACCCGACGACAAGACAGATGAGGGGGGCCGGTCTCGAACCCAAGAGATTGAGACCGATAGTTTTCTGAGCAAAATCTCCACCATGGATAATTATTACATTTTTTAATTAATTAAATAACAATTTTACTTTTACTAATAGACGCGTAATTGATTCTTAGTCTAGAATTGAAAATATCACATTCTTTTGAAAATACTAGAAGGGTACTCGTGCAATGCATTGAGATACATCTTGATTTAAATATTTCGTTTTATTCCTCTTTTATATTGATATAATACGGTTTTATTTGGTTTTGAGAAAGCGATAATGTTTTTATTTTTGAATAAAATATAAATTTGAAAATATTATAAAATTTTGAAAAAAAATATATACCGATATTAATATCAAATTAACATTTTTAAAAGGTATTGTGTTTTGGTGTAATTTTCTTAATTCAATTTTTTAATTATAATTTAATTTAGGTATAGTAACAAAGAAATTTAATTTAGATTTAATAATATAATTTTTTATAAAGATAATAATTAAGTATTCTATTAGAACTCAATGATTATTTTAATTATATTTTAGATTTTTTATATTTAAAATGATATGTTTATCTTGTATTTGATTATGTTTATCTGCAGTTAGTTACACGAATTTATATATGGAACTTTAATAAGTTGTACTTACGCACAATCTACTTGCAATCTTGAGTTTTAAATAATATGCATTAATAAACAGTAATTTACGCATAAAAAGTGGTTTTTAAGAGTTTTTGTCAAATGCTTTATGATATAGTATAGATAAACAACAATTATGTAGTGAATCGCATAAAAATGGTGGTGTCTGATTGGTTTGAGCTTAGGCTCCAAAGGTCAAAAGTGTCTGAAGGTCCCGGGTTCAAATCCAAAGGATGAATAAAAATCATCTTGTAGCCACGGAGATTCAAATGCGATGACTCCGAGCTACCCGCAAAGCAGGTAGTCATCCTGGGATTAGTCGGCTCGCATAGCGAATTGGATATTCAGGTTAATCAGAAAAAACCATTACAGTTCTCTAGTCAAAATTCTCGAGGGTCTACCACCATATCGGAACAAGCTGAACTTTTCAAAAAGTTTCATATAAGTTACTAAATTGAAAATTTTCATTTATTTGTTAAAACCCAGTATCATTTACATAACCTTATTGCTAAAGTATCGTTGTTTGTAAAGCGTTTGATGATCCAAACGGAGAAAGTGGAAAAAAAAACTATACCTAAGTCGTTAAACCGTTAACAAACTTTGAATTAGAAAAAATACGAGAGGTTTCATTGACGGGTATTATTAGGGCTGTAAACGAACCGAACATTTAGCGAATCATTCGTGAACAATTCGGCAAGAAGTTTGTTTATTTAATAAATGAATGAATATAAACAAATTTTTTTGTTCGTTTAGTTAAATGAACAAACATAAACAAGCGTCTCGTTCGTTCATTTATGTTTGTGAATGTTCATTCATTTACGTTCGTTTATGTTATCTTTTATTTATTTAACTCTTTAGAATTTATTTAGATTTAAATTTTATCATCATTTCGTCTTATTTGAAATTTTTACATTTTCACTTTTGTCAAATGATGGTGGTGATTTTTTTTTTGTTGAAATGATGATGGTTGATGAATGGTGATTGTTTTGTGTATGTTTAAACTATGGATAATTTGTGTGTAATAGTTAATTGAATGACAAGTAGTGGTGTTCGTTTAGGCATATTCGTTTATGTTCGTTTAGCCCATTTGTTTGAGTTCGTTTAGCATTTTAACAAACGAACACGAACACACTTGATTTCTAAATGGACGAACATGAACACAAAGATTTTCATTCGTTTACCATTCGTGTTCGATCGTTTGTTCGGTTAAGTTAAACGAACGAACATGAACAAGCCTCTGTTCTTGTTCGTTCGGTTCATTTACAGCCCTAGGTACTATACAGGGTTGGCGAGAGGTGTTTTGCATGGAGAGAGGATGAGGTAGGGACGTAAGGTTGGCATACGGGTCCAACAAAGGAACATATATGGTGGTAGGGACGAAAAACAAACTAATACTCAACGGGAACCTGATATCTGAACTCAGTTTGACTACAAATCTCCCAATTTGTTAACTGGGGATGGGGATACTGCTCAAACCTTATCCCGAGTGCTTAATAATAAGTTTTGTGTATACGGGGTGTTTGGGATTACTTATTTGAAACAACGTATGCTTTTCTACAAAAACACTTATCAACGTATTATAAGTCAGAAGAGTTTAACTTCTTCAAAAACTCCTTATTACCGGTTTAGCATCGGTATAAGTTGTTTATTCAAACATTCAAAAGTACTTATTACCGGTACTACACCGAAATAAGTCAATAAATTATTTTTATAAATAATCTCAAACACCCCCGTAGTATATAAATATATTTATACATGTAATATAGTAAAAAGAGTAATGTTCAATTTTGGTCCCTAAAGTTTGCAATTTTCAATAGACGTCGTCTTTTTAAACTTTAAAAATTCGGTTTTGATCTCTCACGTTTGTCAATTCCTAACAATTTTTAATGAAGTTTTTTTTCTCCTTAATTTTTTCGATGGATTCACTTGTCAACCTTATTTTCTTTTAGAGTAAACTAAAAACGTACTCGCACAATGCAGCGAGATACATCGTGATTTTAATATTTTATTTTAGTTTTTATCTCAGTCGAAGTTATAATATGACTTTATGTGATTTTGAGAAAGCGATATTTTTATTTTTGAATAAAATATATGTTTGAAGATATCATAAAAATTTGACAAAAATATATCGATATTAGTATCAAATTAACTATTTGAAATTCCTATTTNATGAAATCGTTTAGGGATGAACGGGTTTAAGAGTTCTTAAGTGTTTTAAAAGTTTTTAAGAGTTTTTAAGAGTTTTAGTTAAATGTTTTATAAAATTAAGAGTTTTAAGAGTTTTTAAGAGTTTTAGTTAAATGTTTTATAAGATAGTATAGATTATGTTTTTTTGTCCCTGGGTTTGTTACAAATTCGGATTTCGTTCTTGTGGTTTTGAAATTATGGTTTTAGTCCCTATGGTTTGCAATTCATTTCTATTTTCGTCCCTAAGGTTAAACACTATTTTTAAGGGCGAGAGATTAAAATAGAAACAAATTGTAAACTGCATGGATGAAAAAAGCAATAAAGTTTTAATCATGATGAAAACGCAAATGAATTATGAACCATGAAGATGAAAATCGTTATTTTAAAACCAAAAAAATAAAAATAAAAAATTTCAATAAACCATGGGGACTAAAAACGTAATTTACTCGTTCTTTTAACCATATTGTCACGATGTTTAGTTTAAAAGTTATTTGTTCATCTCTTAATAGTTTTATTAAGAGATATCATCTGAATCGTTAAAAAATGAATCTTGTTTTGTAAAAAAATGTCTGTTTTTTAATGGTTCTAAAATTCTCTGGATGATTTTGTATTATAAGTCTTCCTTAACCATTCAACGCTCTAACTTCATTTTAAACAATTATCAAATAATTATATTTCATTTTATATTATATCACGAGATGTTCTTAATCATTATATACCAAATCATTTAATAAATAAGTTTGAAGGTAATTAAAACACTTTTAAAATGTTTTATCAAAATAATTAAAAAATATTTAATACTAAGGGGGTGTTTGGGATTGCTTATTTAAAACAACTTATGCTTTTTTGTAAAAGTGCTTATTAACTTATGTGGTATCAAACTGGAGTTTTGTAAAAAGTGTTTGGATTAGCTTATAACGGTATCAAAAAGCAATAAGTTGATAAGTTGGTTTTTAGTGTTTGGCAAATTTGGCTTATAGATGTAAAATTACCAAAAAGGTCCTATAAAGATAATAATTAATTATGTTGTTAGAACTCGACAATTATCCTAATTATATTTTAGATTTTTTATGTTTAAAATAAAATGTTTATCTTGTATTTGATTATGTTTATCTGTAATTAGTTACACGAATTCAGATATGGAGCTTTAATAAGTTGTACTTGTAACATCCCGTCCCACATTGGTTGGTGAGGTGAACAAAGCACTCCTTATAAGGGTGTGGATACCTTAGCCTAACATGACGCGTTTTGGGGCTTGCGTTGTGCGGCTGCCAAAAAAAAAACCGTGCGGCTACTGCTTTGTGGTTGAGCGGGCAGGTTAGTCAAAGCGGA